TCAACGGACCGAGAGAGGCCAGAGAGGCAACAATGTCTTGTTACTATGGGGATGGCAGATAAATATTTCCCCATATGGGGAAATGCCAGATAATGCGGTGGGTTTCTCACTTTTTTTTTTTCATTCTGTCTGTTCGCAGGAACCATAGCGACCAGACAACACGACCCAATGCGCACGCGCAGCTTTCCACCTTGGTAGGTGTGCCCGTTTTCCAGGAAAGAGTCCACTTCCCTTCCAGCCCTGGCGGTTGACGGATCCATAGTAGACAATGGAGGAGAGCGGCTGCTTCCGGCTGCGTAGACAGGGTTGCTAGATGCTCGCGTGAAATACCATATCTGGCATCCTACGTCCTCCCATCTCCACGCGACGCGGACCATCGACAACATGCCTAGTTGCCCAGGCCTTTTCATATAGGCCTTCGCTGAACCAATGACAGCTATTATTTATTTATATCAGGTCATCCCATAAGTAATTTTTTTTTCTCTGTTTTTCAAAATTAAAATACACCTGCATCGCATCAAGTTTCAATCAAGTATATATTCCCCTTCGTTCTCTATGACTCTGCCACCTTTCTACAAGCATTTCAATTCCATGTTTATAAAATTCCGTTTGCTTTGAAGCAAAAAATGCGGACAGGTCACTTTTGATAGCCTCCGAACTTTCAAATTCTTTTCCGTTGAGATAGTTCATCCCCAGTAATGAGTCGATTCAAAAACGGCGCTTGAAGTGCACGAGAGTGTAGGGAAGAGCAAATGTTTACTCGATCCCTAAGATTGTCTGGTGACAACACATGTGGAACCCACTTTCCATGTTTTGACACTTTCCCTAGCCGTCGCAAGTGGCGGTGAACGGTGGAATGGGTGGAATTGAGCTTCTGAGCAAGTTCTTCAACAGTTACAGCAGGATCTTCATCAAGTGTAGCCACCAGCAGTTCATCATCAAACTCAATAGGTCGGCCTGAACGTGCTTCATCAGTTAAGCTGTAGTCACCAGACCTGAATTTCTGGAACCACCTTTGGCATTTCCTCGTATTCAGAGCTTCCTCACCATAAACATGTCGAATGTTTTTCGTGGCTGCAGTCGCGTTATTCCCTTTCTTAAATTCATAAAGCATTATATGCCTAATGTGTTCTTCTGACACCTCCATCTTGTCTTTAGTGTCCAAGAAAAACGGAGCACTGTTACCTCGTGAAAACCTGCACGTATTTTGACGACTAACCCCTGCACAAGTTAGCATAGAAATATTCCATGGGATGTTCGCAGATACATGTATAAAGAAGACACAAGTAAGGCTATGCCAGCAAAACGACTTTACTTATGGGATGACCTGATACTTCCAAAGGTATCGGAACCATTTAAATGGCTGATCTGTACCTGAACTGGTACCCTTTATTTCGATCTTTTGTCTTTTACCCAGCCTTCCTGTTCTTGGCTTATCTATTATGTCGCCTGTTCTGAGGAATTTATGCTCGCACTGCAAAAGCCCTTTTTGAAGGAGCTTCTTGGTTGGATCGTTACTGGACATCGTCACCAACTCAATCCATGGTCTTCCCTGTGTGTGGACGTTTGTGAACCCAGACACTGGAAGCAATAGGTTGTTCAATGGTGTAATGGATTGCATCACGCATTATGTTCAACTAGTCTGGAAAATAAAATAAAATATTACTTGTGTAAATTGCTGCAAAGGGGACAAGTCATTCTGGCCACCCTGTACTGTCCATGACTAATTATAGAACTTCCAAAGGCCATATTTTAGAAGAATGAGATGGGATCCCAACACAGCCCTCTCTAAGGCACCCATGTTCCTCTAATGCAGTGGTTCTCTAACTTCCTTTCACATCCATTGAAACCTTGATACGTCCTAGGGTCACGATCTCCAGTTTGAGACCTGTTCCCTCTATGCCTCTACGTGAGGCATGTCCTGTTGATGCGATGGAAGCATTGTCTTCCTTCTGCTAGTGTCGTGGATGGGTGATGGACGAGTGGGTCGAGTGGAGTTTTCGTGTCTCGATGGCAATCGCAAGCTACTGAAAGATTTCGAGGGTTGAGGTTCTCGGTCGGGAACAGAAGTGTTTGGGGTGAATACACTCACTTCTTATTTCATTTTATTTTCATCATGAGAGAGATACAGGTAAATTGCATGATTTTCATAGTTGTGATATATCAACGGGTGAAAAACTTCCCGATAATTGATTTATTTCTTTAACCTGTTGCCCGTTGCACTCTTGATTCCATGAGTTATTGCCAGGCCTCAAGAACTCACAAGAATGGGTTTTGTTTCAGGTGTAAAAGACTGTGCCTCAGTGGAAGGATTTCTTCACTACTGAAGGTGTCGGGAGTTGAGGTTTTGTCCCATTATCAACTGGATAAAAAGCCTATAAAATGTTTACCCATGTCCCCTTTCAAATATACTTTGTGGTTTTTCTGCACTATTCTAGCTTTCCAGTTATTTTTTTTTTATTGGCCCTCGTGAATATAGAAACCTTGAATCATGGACATTCATTTATTTCCCTGGCTTCGGTGTCGCACCTAGTTGTGTGCATAATCGTCACTATCAGAGTCTCTGGTCGAGAGCTTTTCAAGTTCCTATTTCAGGGTGAAAGTGTTGAGGCATCGAAAGAATACAACAAATATTCGCAAATTTCGGTCGTTCATTGGCCTGAAGCCTTTTCTCGAAGTTTGAAGAAGAATGCATCATTTTGGAAGAGAGACAATTATTTCCTCTCTGAAAATAAATTTTACATGGCCCTCACTTTAGTTGTTTTGCTTCAGAAATCAATTCATAAGTAATGTGATTTTTTTTCCTCTCTTCATACACTTCCTGCAACACTATTCCTTTTAATGTGCCGCGCACATTAAAATTAATTTAAATGAATTTTTTTTTTTGTGGGGGGGGGGGGTGAATTTTTTAACGAAATATTTTCAGCACCATGCTCGATGGAAGTCCATCAAAAATCGCACATTCAAACCGCCGGAGATTAAATTTTCATATATTTCAATTAAATAGCTAAAAGGAGTGGAGAAATTGATTTTTAATTACATTGCAAAAATGAGTAATTATGCAAGAGAATGCAAAGCATCTTATAAACGATTATATTTATATACCAATTCAGAAACTTTTTATTCGCATGCAATCCTCCGTGCCTTCATTACTTTGAGAACCGCAAATCGTTTTTTTTTAGCTGTTCTTCAGATGCGCTGACGGTTAAATGCTTCTTTAAAAATGGATGAAAGTGATGAAAGCAAAGAGTAAAAAAAAAAAATCCTTACTCGTCGCATTTCAATTTGAAACAAACCGGATGAGAGTCACCAGATTGCAAATTTTACTAACATGACAGGAAAACTCGCATGCCTCTTCATTAAATCTGGCATGCAGCAAATTGCAGAATAATTTCGTTCATCTATTTTTTTTTTCCCTTCTACGAAGTTTCCTCAGTACTTTTCCTTCGACAACGAAAGAAGTATGGGAACTATGAGGTACCCCGATTCATTAGGGGAATTGCGTCATGTTTCCAGAGGGGAGCATTCAACGTGGAATTTCGGCTGCGAAGTCGGTTATCAGCTGATGCTTCTTTAACCGTGATGAGCGCGTGGCCGGCTCGGAGCAATTAGCGGAGTTTCGCGCGGTTTCCTGTCGGTTTCGGAACATCCGAGTCGATTTCGTGAGACATGAGGTCGCTGTCACAACAGCTGGACTGGTTGCATGAAATAGGGAGATTATGGCGAAATTGAGATTTTTTAATACAAAATTTTCGGGATAGAAAAGCGAATTTGCATGAAATCGACCAAATTTACACAAATACACATCTTGCTTCAGGTTTTGGTATTACGGTTCCGGAACAGCCACCAGATGAGCAGACGAAGAAGTTTAAGAACGGCTTAGGAAACCTGTTATTCCGCGAATGGGCGCAATGCGATCGGCAAATCGGCATGCCGCAGGGAGAATGAGATTCGGACCGGGTCCTGCCCGCTCGGTCGACGGGCGTCGACGACCCTCGTCGAGCGGTTGGAACGACCGACTACAGCAGTGCAACCGTTAACGATCTGGCTCCTGTGACGAAGCATGTCTCTTTATTTCGCCTCGACTGCGACTTGCAACGTGTTGCAGGTCGAACGCTTCTCTTCCAAACTATTTCACGCAGTTTGATCGAAAAGAAAAAAAAAGATGAACGATAGCATTGCTCTCAAACTTCGGCATCCCAGGTCTATTAACGGCTTTTCGAGACGTTTTCTCCAGAACCCGTTTCACGGCAGTAAAATATATTTACAAACCTCACGATACCACGTACGATAACGATATACATTACAATAAAATCAAAGAGAAACCTGGATTATCTCGCGAGAAAACATGCACCTGGTCTTCTCAAAGTCATTCCAGGCTTGTGCATCGCTTGCGATGCGAAATCAGCATCGGAGGTCCAGTCCTTCCAACAATTTCCTCGTCTTTCGGGAAGAGAAACCTTCCAAGAGAAGCCAAGTAGGTTCATTCTGAGTATCGTCGTTCCAGAGGTTCTTCTAGTAGGTGAAGCTCATCCTCAAAGAAAAAAAAATTCCAACTTGTCTGGAGTTCTTCGTTCTGGTCGCCATTCACCAATTGGCTCTTGTCCATTTCACTAAACCAACTTCTGAGCCATCCTGTTTCTTACCTATCGATGGTGAAGATACACGACCACCTATTTCCAAATTTATCACTTATGAGGTTCCGGTACCATCGAAATGCAGTGATGGCAGGATCTGCTGCTAAAATCTCTTAGCTCCTTATGTAATTATCTTTTCTCATGATGCCTATAAAGTTCTGAAAATATAATAAAAACTGTCGAATTTTAGTGATCTTTTTGTTCCTTCTCCAAAGTCGTGCATTTACACACGCATATCTTCACCGACGAAATGCAAAAAGTCACTCGTGTATAGTGATACGAAATCACGCAGACAGGGATGGCAACACTTCTCAGAGACGGTCGAGAGTTTGCACGTCACGGTTCCTCGAAATCAAGAACAAGTGTGTACAAAAAAAGAGAATAGGTTGGTTTTATTTCATGTACAGGAGCATGAGGAATTCTGTCCACTGTACAGAATAAAGGACATCGGAGGGAAAAAAAGACAAGGACGAAGAGAAGTGGCCTATCCATCGGCAAAGAGAACACAGGTCATGAAGAAAGGAAAAAAAAAAAGAGATTCATCTGAAACAGATCTCAGGATACGACAACGGGCAAGTCCCAGCAAAATATCGGCAAAAGAAAAAACGGAAAGGGAGGGAAAAAGATTCATGCTCGTATATTCCCTTGTGCAGATTCGGTTGGAATTCGGTTCCGAGTCCGATCTCGACGAGACGCTCTCTCACCGAACCTTTGTGCCCCTTACGGAAGACTCATTCCACTCTTTTTCACGTGCGATTCCGTTGAAAAAATAGACAGAAAAAGGAAAAGAGAAACGGAGACGCGGTTGGGCGGCGGGCTGAGATCAGATCCATGCGACTCGACATCATGCATTCCGCATTCACGAGAATAATATCAATCGGCATTCGGTCACTTCGTGGATCGGGAGTATTCTCAGAGGCAAAAGAAAATATCCATCCCATACATGAAGGGGACCAGAGGGGAAGGATTCCTCAGTCAGTCCTGCGACTGGATGTTCTACGATAACAATGGTGAGAAAACAAGGGTGGGGGGGAAAAAACACAGGTGACATGGAGATTCCTCGATTCGCATATCACGGCATACGATTGCAGGTGGAAAATAAATTCCTGGCGGAAGAGAGAAAGGGAAGAGAACCACTTTGTGGATGTCCGATTCATTGTGCTACGTACAAGATACAACAAATTCACACTGAGCAACGAGCAAAACAAAGAACAAAAAAAAAATTCCCCCCCTCTCCACGATTCATGTTGTCATGTTTTGTGTGCTGAGTGGGCGATTCACCGCTGAATTCGCCGTCATCTATATCTCGAGGCCGTCCCCCAGCCCACTGGGACTAATAGGGAGCAAATCGGTTATAGCTGCTCCGGTAGATCGCTGCTCCGTATCCGGGGATGGGGCCGATGCTGCTCGCGAAGTATGGGTCCGCGTATGCCCTGTCGTGAGAGGAATCCCAAACGTGAACGTCACCGTTGCCGTGTTATTGTCAAAGAAAATTTTTTTTTTTTAAGGATCAAAGGGATGAAACTGACGTCTGATTAGCACCATTGAGTGCTAAACACCATTGACTGGAAGGGAAAAACATAAAATATCACATTGCATTTTGAAGCACACCGGCAATGAGGGTTACCAGATCGAAATTTATATACATTACAGGTATATTAGCATGCCAGTTTTATGAGTAATCGTCATTCATTTACATGAATAAATACATGAACAAAATTCGTTTCTGAACAGGAGATGGAAAAAACTTATCGCACAAAAATTGAACACAGCACTGAGGAATCAAAGATAGCTGATCACAATTACAAAAAAGGCAAACCACTATTTTTCCTCTTGATAATGTCTTGGAATGTCTAAAGAAGGGGTATTTTGTGCACTCCATTTAGGAGACAAGCTAGGAAGCCTTTTGCTCCAGGAAGCAAAAGTCACTTTGGCCAGTATGCCAGCATGCCTCAGGCTAAGCCTGGAGTCTGATGAACCTCATTTTAACCTGGTATGCAGCAAAATGAAGGATGATATGATCCTTCATTTGTCTTTTTTTTCAGGTAAGTTCTCATGCCCTTTTTTCCTCAATGCGAGATTGCTTACTTGATAGCTAACACATCAGGGAGTCATCAATTTACACTGGCTCTTTGCTGTTGACACAATAGATGACTTCAGTGAATGAAATATCGACAGTACGGATGTAACTTCATGAATAGATAAGTTTTCCAAATTTCTCTTGTGAGAAATTTGGAAAAGAAATTCCTGAATACAACCATAATTTGCTCAAAAAGAGCTTTTTGGAAGGAATTCATCATCCTCATGGTAACATGATCGGAACTCCGAACTCATTAATCATGCAGTTTAAATGATTCACTTTAGATTAATCACAGCAAAAACACCTGAATATGTCAGTGAACCCAAGAACATCATCATTTACGGGCATGAACCAGGCCTATAATATATGAGTGAAATACCAAATGCAAAGGCTTACAAACATGCATTTGTTTGCCAAGGAAAAGTATGTGTCATGCACACTGAGGATGTGGAATGTTCCCCACTGTTGAGCTAAGTAGAATTTCAGCTACAGTCAGCTATCAGCTGATATATTTTCAATTGTGAAAAGTACTGAACCGGCTCAAGAGCAATCAATAGAATTCACCGTTGCTGTGTCAATGTCATGGATAACAAATTTTAATTTTTTCACAAAAAACGATCAAAGGGATGAAACTAACGTCTGATTAGCACCATTGAGTGCTAAACACCATTGACTGGAAAGAGAAAACATCAAGTATCACCTTAGACTTTGAAGCACACAGGCAATAATGAGGATCACCAGATCGAAATTTATCAACGTTACAGGTACATTATCATGCCAGTTTTATGTGAGGAAATGTCACAGTAACACTAGCAAAAATGCAAGTATAAGAAGAGCACCCCGGGAGATAAAAAAAAACTTAATTTAAAATAATTGAACACAGCACTGAGGAATCAAAGATTACAGTAACAGAGAAGGCCAACCTTTGCCTTTTTTTCTCTTCAAACAAATCTTCAAACTATGTCTAAGGAAGAGGAATTTTGTGCACTCCATTTAGGAGATAATCCAGGAAGCAAATGTCACTTTGATGAACCTCATTTTAACCTTGTATGCAGCAAAAGGAAGGATGATATGATCTTTTCTTCTTTTCTAGGTAGGTTCTAATGTACTCAATGTATACATTGTTTTTGAGAGCCAACATCAGGGTGTCATCATTTTATTGATGACACAAAAGATGACTTCAGTGATTAAAATATCAACAGTACAGATGCAACTTACCATGAATATATAAATTTTCCAACTTTCTCACAAGAAATTCCTGGATGAGTTTATGCATTAGTACCTCTCTCTTATGCAAATGAAAGGTACAAATGTACCCTGAGGATGTGAAAGGTTCCCCATTGCTGAGCTCAACAATCCAAACACCAACTGATGAAATTATGGAGAAATGGTCTTCATTTTCAATGACCCCATTTACAAGTGCAACAAAACACATGGCATGCATTCAGAATTTAAAAATTCCTTAAGCAACCTTACACTTAAAAACACTTAGCAAATGAGATGCAGTAACACAGATCATAACCAAAAGAAATATATGCCACTTCACTCTATTCTTAATTTTAATTATGAATGAATAGTTTAAGTTTAATAAAGTAGTTGCATTGTAGCAATCTAAGATCTAAGAACACTCGGCGGTCCAAGAGGCCTTCTGATGGAAGAAATTGCAAAAGAAGCAAGTACCATCATGGCTGGTAGTGGAAACTTTTTCTGGAGAGTCATGTCCCACCCCATTTCAGTATGACCAAACTCTCATAACAAAATTGCTTGTTTAATTATTTAATTACTTTTCTACAGCTCATAAAATCCCATCAAGCAATTAGTGAACAAAAATCCTATTAATTCATCTGAAATTAATCTGTTTAAATGTGGTTAGTATGTCTACAGAAGCTGCATCTAAGCTATGGGTTAGGAAAAGCCAAGCAAAGCAGATAATCAAAATGCAAATCATGGGGGAAAACTCACCCGATGGTAGGGTAAGCGGCGGCTGCAGCTGCCAGTGGTTGAGCGGCAGCAGCGGCTGCACTATATGATCTCAATGCAGCCAGGTTGGCTGCTGACGCATACTGGGAGGCTGCAGATACACTCACAGGTGACCCGGCTACACTGATGGGCGTCTTCAACAATTGAGCAGCAGCAGCTGCTGCTGCTGCAGGCTGCAACATTCCATACTTCTGGACTTGCACTTTTCGCTTCACACAGTGCTATTATTCTACTCATTCAAATCATATGTTCCATGCAAAGCTACAGGAGGCTCAGATGTTGTGGCATGAATCACCCCAACTGCATTTATGTCTACAGTAATTCATTTTATCATAAGAAAAATAAATGCAAAGACTGTTTACTTGGTTGTCTCTCATTTCACTTATACCTTTACATGTGGCTACATTGCAGGGTCAAATTGTCAAATCAATACAAACCAATTTCCTTACTTAACCCTTTGAGGAGTGGGTTTTTTAACGCCAAGAAGATAACCCGTAGTGAATACATGGAGGGCAGGAGGATGTCAGCCTGTATATATACAGGCAAACTTGTCAAAGGGTTAAACAACTGATTAATATTCAAAGTGTTGGGAGTCTTCATTTCACAACCTTCACAATCCTTCAGGCATGCCAAAGCCATGGCTTGATATCATGCACATACTTAAAGCCAAACAAATAAGCTCTTCATTCAGCTCACTCCTTGAGCAGTAGCAAATTAATTTAAACTGAAATCAACTGAAAGCAGCTACTATTGCTTCAGATACATATCACATTTAATCACAGAATATGATGCTTGATGGAAAATGAATCCACCCATTCATTCCCATTCTTGACTTAATATACTTGCTTGATTTATATTTTAGAGCACCATTCAGTCTGGCCATGCCAGAAGTGACATTGGTTTGTTTCATGTGATAGGACAACAAGAGAGCTTTTAAATATCCTGAGAATACACAATTACAATGAAAGGTTGTTGTAGGGTGTAATACCTTTATGAGCAACTCTTCACACTAAAGAGGGCCACATTCACCTAGCTAGCAAGTTCTAGCTAAAAAATTGAGGACTCACAACATTCATTTCATGACATAAGCCTAGAGCTCACCTGGAGGCGAGGATCACTGGCACTGGCTGCAGCAGCAGCTGTTGCTTGAGCCAAAAACAAGGGATCGTATGCATACACTCCCCTGCAATGCAAACCGCAATGCAAATCTCTTTCTTCAGTTTAATGCATTAAAGAGGGTAAGAGGGTGGAAAACAAAGGATTACATACGTTGTGTAAGCAGCAGGGATGGCAGCCGCTCCAAGGGGAGGACGTGTTAATGCAGCGGCTGCAGCTGCAGCAGCAGGGTATGCAGCCGGCGAGACGGCAGCCGTCACACCTCGCATTCGGCCCCTCTGGATCATTGCTCCTCTCAACGCTGCCGCTGCTTCACGCACACAAGCAATGGGACAAGGGAGGGGGAGGGAGAATTGTATTGTAAGAACATGTAAACTCTGACAAAGAATGACCTCAAACACTGTTCCAGTTTGGGTGAAGGACAGAGGATGTTGCTGGGGCTGGGAAACACGAATTTATGGAGAATAAAATGATTGGAGAATAAATATTTCCATAATGGCTCTGAGGATTTCTGCAGATTTTCATCAGCTCACAAAAACTAGCATACTTGGTTTGGACTTTTAAATTGTGGGAGAAAAATCATTTGATATCTCATCCTGACGCATGCCTAATCCTGCTGAATGTTATGCTCAGATCAAGTGGCTTCTGAGACCACATAAAAAGAACATGGAGCCGGATACAGCACATTCTCATTTATTCTCACCTGCATTCCCAGCAATAATTTCTGATTTTCAATTTTTAGTTTAACTTAGCCATGTAACAGTAACCGCTGTTTACATCAGCACTTAGGTAGTGCAGAGGAATGGAAAAAGGGCCTACCAATAGGAAAACAAATGGAAAGGCAGTCCCTTCTCATGTTGAAAAAAGCAGAATGAGACAGAGATAGGCTATGGAGATTGTTATTCTGGTACTAATCACCATCCTCATACTGTGTACTGGACAGGGTGTAAGAGCTAGTGCATCCCATGTCCATGCCATGCCTCATTGGAAACATTCACTCCATCAGTCAATCAATCAATCAATCAACCAATCAATGATAGGCTGTGTGACTCCCCAAGAAACAGTGTTGGGACTGGCAAAATGCTGAACCCGTCTCGCTCTTGGCTAATCGGTTTCTCCAATGTGCACACAGATAACGGGGCACGTCTACAAGAGTACGACAACGGGCAGCATGCGGAGTGGCAGGGAAGAAGACGAGGGGAACATGGGATGGGGAATCAAGGAGGGGAAGCAGAAGGTAGGAGAGCGTGTGGTCATTAGCACTTAGGTGGTGGAGAGGGACTTACCATTAGGCAAGGCATTGGCAGGTTTCTTAGTTTGTACTCTGGCAGTGGCATTGTTCACCTAGGAAGGGCAAGGAAAAAAAGAAAGGGGCCAAAAAAAAAAGAGAAGAGGTAGGAAGAGAAAAGAGAGAGACACAGCAGAGGTTTCAGGCTATGCTAGCAAGACCATTTCCCTCATAGCTTCATACAGTATCCATACATGGATGAGAGAGAAAGAGAGAAGAAAAAAAAATCCAGAGTACAATCTACAATCTTGACAAACACTTGTTTCTTTAGGAAGCCAGTTACACAAAAAGGAAAAATTATGCTCACACATTCCCGTGCAGTACTTGGCATTCCATGGCAGGTGGGTTTCACTGCCTTATCACAGATTATGCAGGAAAAAAGATGCATGAGCAGCAGCACCAACATATTGTGGTCGTTCGAGAGAGAACTAATTATTCCTTCAAGAGTGGGCAAGGTGGATTAAAAACAAATCAATCAATCCATTTAGACCCAAGCATAGGAGTGGCCATGTGATGAAAGGAAGGAATGTTAGGCTGGAAACTTGATGCCTGTGTGCCTGGTCAAGCCTTCAAAGGGAGCAAGGACATGAATGTACCCAAACACAAACACATACCAAACCGAACCGAACCGAACCGTGGTGTCCCAGTCGAAACATCCAGAAGAAAGAATCCACAAAAATAGCAAGACTTCATAGAAGACATCACCAGATCATGTCATGGGAATGGAGAGTATTACTGACCACCATCTGTACAGTCCGAGGCGCAATGGGTGTGATGATGTCCTGTCTGTCCCCTCATGTGTAAGGAATATTGGCTCTGAATTTCCATGAATCAAAGGCTGAACAGTGGCCAGTGGCTGATTGTAATAACAGAGCAGCTATACTTTTTCATTATGAATTATTTAAAAATTACAAACATATGTCACTGGTGAGCATTACCATTCTGTTCCCCAAACTTATCTTTTGTTCATTATGAGGGCAAATTTTCATGATAGAATAACATTTGCATTAGAAAGGAGCATCCTGTCAATCTTGCATTCAATGCATTAATTACCCCTCTTTGAATCTTCTCTCTCTGTGATGACCATCCCATGCAACCACACTTGCATTTTATTCATATCACACAAGAGGAGTCATCTGACATCCTATTGTGCCTCCATCCACCACTAGGACATGCATAATTAATTTACAAGGGTTGGATGGATATTAGTTGTTTGACCGATGACATTAATAAGCAGGTGGAATTCCCCAGCACTGGTTGGATGATTTCAGATGTCTTCAATTGAGTGTTCTCTGACATGCTTCCTGAGAAGCAAATAACATTGAGAGAATGTATGCTCCCAGTGTTATTTGCAGCATTTTGTGAACACATTTGTTGAAAGTGCCACCAAAGCAATCATGAGAGGGTATTGTTCAAATTAACATTCCATTTAGATATGAAAGAATTTGTGAGAGTGAGAGCCAGAGCTGAATTTACCCACTTTTCTCCCAAAGCCTACCACATATGCATGAAAAAGTCAAAATCTGACCTCTTCTCTGGCACATCTTGGAATTATGCAAAATTTCTTCATTGAACAGGATGACATCCATGCGGAATTCCATAGTCCCATTGAAATTAGAAGGTTATGAAGAGAAGCCATCATACATTAATAAAAAGTTTTCTTGATATCTCTGTGCAATATGATCAACTCGAGGGGCTGGAATCGTGTAGCAATTTCAAAATATACCTCTCCATAGACAACCAACAGGGAGAAGAGAGATGAGTAGAAGTGAAACATGCCAACAGAATGGAACGAAAGGAGAAGCGCCCAACAGCTAAACAGATATCACACAGCATCATGAGGGAACTACATGGCACCGAGGGCCTCAACAAACTTCCCTCCAGTCTCCATAAAGGGAGTGAAGATGAAACATTTTCCCCTGGCCTTTGCCCCCACTGCCCATTCATCAAACAAAAGTCAGGAGAGGTCGCTGTCATGGGAAGAGGGATCCACAAATGCAATTGAGCAGGATGTCCCACCCTCAAAGCATCAATGACTCACATGCAACGGAAGCCTTTGCTCATGCTGAACACAGTTCAACTACAAGAGAACCTTTGCTTTCACGCCTCATAATGGCCTTTAGTTCTTTCATTCCAGTGCAAGAACACTTTTGGTGCATATTACACTACCTCTTTTAGACACGATATAGCATTCAGTACAGCTTCTTATGAGATCATTAGTAAAAAGTTCATGGCAAATCTTTCCCTCAAGTTAGAGCAGATCCTTTCTTGGTATGACAAGCTATAAATCCATATAGCATGGAACTTGGGTGCCAACTAAAATTTTTTAGCATTGAAGCCCAGTAGCACATACTTGGAGACACCATGAAAGGAGAGGACCAGGCAAGTCAATGTTTTATGGGAAATGTCATGCGCACACTGCAGCTGTATTTCCCAATAACATTCCAGTTGGTTTAGTTTCATTGGAATTGTGATGGCACCCTCATCATATGAATGTCTCCTTAAAGATGCAGCTTCAAGAGGAAAAATCCTCATTGAACATGCCATTATATACAGGTATGTGGCTTTTTTTAATAAGTGCAACATGGTAGTCACCCATCTTCCTCAGCTGGGGAAAGGACAGAAGTGGGGAAAAACTGCATTTCTGTAAAAGTCTCAACTTGATTCAAACAGAGCAACAGTGTATGCTGCAGCTTCCCTTTCATCAGAGGCACTCATGCTTCAATGGTGGGACATGCCTTAACAGGGGATAAAAAGCCGATCATACAGGCGGGCGATCGAGCTAGTGGAAAGAGGCGCAGTCTTGTGTCTTGCTGACCACATTCACCCATGCGAGGAAGGAAGAGAGACCGATTTCAACTCACCATCATACCCTGCCTCATTCGAATCATCATCATCATCATCCCTGGCACACTTTATCATAGGGTACCTCCATCATCTGAAGGAATAAAATTGTCATTCCAACCATCTCAGTATGTGCTGTCATTTGGTCGATGTCTACCATCCATACACGATGCTGGAGGGCAAGATAATGAGTACACTAAATGAGATGCAGAGAGAAGGACAGAGAAAACAGACAGGCAAGGATAGCAAGAAAGAGATGTGGAGATCTTTTCTTCTATGGAGATATAGAGCACAAAGAAGTCTATCACCCAAGGCAAGATTTACGTGGCACAGCAAGGAGAGGAGGGTGGAACAAGTATTACATTGGCTCTTTACAAGCTGGATATAGGGCTACCTAACTCAGAAATGGATGAGAAGTAATCAGAGGTAGTTCTTGAACAAAGAGACCAATCCTTCGCTATGATGTATTCAGCTCAAGATAAGGGTGCTGTGTCTTTATTAAACTGGGATCGATCTCCTATTGTGAATACCAGATGGAATCCTCCCCACAACAATGATGACAAAATCTATACAGGAAAGCACCCTAATTGCATCCTTCCATGTTCATATACCCATCATCAATAAGTTCTGATTTAAGAATACATGTTTTAGGGTTTCCACTTTAAAAGCAGATGAAGAAGGTGAGAGTTAACACCAATGTGAAGAGGCTTCTGACAGTGCTGTGAGACAGTTTATAACAGTAGACTTACCATGCTACTCTTTGGCCAAACATGCAAATAATGTCTTTTTTATATTCATCATTAGAACAAGCAATAACCCATCAAGATGAGGGACTTTGAAAAAGGAGGAAACTCAAGTTTCACTTCCTGACATTCCATCTGGTGGCATTGAGGAATCAGAAATGCTTCATGCCATTCAACAGAGTGCATATGGGACCAGCCCATTCCTGTGTATGTATAGCTACACACCAGAAAGAATCCTATTAGTATGCTATGAGTACCAGCATTGCAGAGTTGGACTTCCTCTCAAGACAGGTGTTAGGGATTATCATCTTTTGTGTACTGTTAATTATGGTTCCTGCCAAAACTGAAGAAAAATCACCATATTATATTTTCTGGGATTATAATGCATAAATAAAAGCAAATACACATGTCTTGTTTTTCTTACTATCTCTCTTGTGCCATTTCATTTTAAGATGCAATAAATGAAGAAACAGGTAGCTAGAAAGTGAGAGTTGAGCATGAGAATAATATGTATATGGTAGGGGGATACAGATGTTCTAGTAAGAACAGTAATAGGAAAGATCTACAGGAAATGAGATGAGAGGGGGAAGAGAGGTTCCCAAGGCAACTACCAACACGTGAGTCTCAGTGATTCAGTGACCATCCATGACTAGGAAAGAGAAGCGGCGGAGAGCATTGCAATCATCATCCTCTCGTTGCTTCTGAATCAAAAGGCTAAACAACCAGTCCATCCATCAATTGCTTGATTGCAGCCATTCATCAGCTACCCAGCACATCCGATAGTGAGAAAGGAAGATGAGAGAAAGATGTACCCGGGCAAATACAAGTCAAACGGAAGAAGTAACATTAAACGATGTGCTCGACACATTGCAGCAGGACGAATTCCAAAGCAGAGTGAAAGGACATGGGTCAATGACACAAAGGAGCAACAAAAAGAGACACCGAATACGGGGTCCGCTGGTTATTCTGTGCGTGTGAGATGATAGGCAAAAAGAAAAAAGAAGGGAGGAGATACAAATGAGAAAATCCTGGGCCACAGCATGGCACAAGGCATCTAGTTGCCAGCTCCAACAGAATCAAGGAACTCATTAGGGGAAAATCCTCATGTGCATCACAGAGCATTATCTACCAGTAGGCCTACCACATCTAGAGATACAGCCAGGATTTCCAGTAAACTGATCCGTGAGTGAATCTCTCTTCTGATTCCATTCTTCTCATGTGCATCCAATCAGAAAAGCCCTAGTTCTCTCTCTCTCTTTTTCTAAGCAGGAAGAGCTGTTACAAACTAAGGTAGTGAAAAGTACTGCACGCATGGGACTGTGCATAGCACAACAATCTCAGTTACCATCACTCTAAGAAAAGAGTTTACAATTAAAAACAAATGAAGGAAGTTTCACTGCAATATGATAGGAAAATAACCAAACAAAAGGAATGAATAATGAATGGACAAACGAACGCCATGCACACCTCTATCGTTCGCCCCTCAACCACGGTGCCGTGGAGTTTCTCTCGTGCTCGGTCCGCATCTGCACTATTTGCGAATGTTACAAAACCGAACCCCTGCATGCAGACAGAGACACCATGCATGATCATCAATCATGAACTCAATCAATCAATGAATCAAATAGTTTTTAGGTTGTTGCCTTTTCAAACCATCACTGAGACCAAATTCATGTCTGGGAGACAAAGGTGGGGGGGGAGGGGTGGGAGACACAAGTATCAATGATGAACCAGAAGAGCACCAGCAAGAGTAGCAACAGTAGCAGCAGCAAATAGCAGCAAAAAACAGCATCAACAACGTGCACACTGTTTGTCAGACAGTCCTGGGTTTATTTTCTCCCACTTCTTCAACAATCCCCTTTTGTTAGCAAAGAGAAGGGACTGACTCTTTCAAGACAATCAAAAAGTGTTACTGATGTACACTGAGAATTAGGCATTGCACAGATAAAAATTGAGAAAAAAAATTATCTTCCACTTGCTTGATTCAGTCAAGAGGTATGAGCGATACATGATAATTAAATAATCTTCCTCCTTTTCATCGACACTGAGTTTCGCATACAATACTAGAAAAGCAAAACAAAGCTACAGATATGCAGATGTGCAAAAGCATGACAAGAGTAGCTCTACCAACAGGGAGCACAAATGGACCAAAAAAGTGTCAAAGGTCCCATGTCATAATGTCATTAACTACTGTAATTTCTTTATACTGCATTATCCCCTCTGACCACATATATAGACATCCAGCATGCATGTCTGATATTTACTTTGAGAAAATGTCTGAAAAGGAGGAAGCCTTCTACATCATTTACAGGAAATGAGGACAAAAGCAGTAAAGTCATTCCTTTTTTTCCAACCTCTGCTTTTCTCATCTAACGCTGACGGAGGAAAAGGAAGGAAACCTCCCAAGAAGGGGCTGGAAAAGAATGCTCTGAGGAATGCCCAAGGGAAATCAATGAGATAGCAGCAAAGTCAAAGGTCATCTGCTCTCATGTTTTCTCTTATTACTGTACCCCTTCTGACTTCATTTCATTATTCCTTCCTGAGCTCTTACAGGGACTGAAGACAGAGCCTACGTGATCTCATTCATGTGCACAACAAAGATTGCTGCTAGAATTTCCAGGCGTATGGCTTAAAGAAATGAATGGAATTGATTGGATACAACAGTGCTCTTCATAGGCATATGCGTGTACATGGTTGCAGTGATTCTCCCAAACAACGCACAAAGACAAATGTGAACATCATTATGATTCATGAAGCACTTACCTTTGAACCCCTCTCATTGAAGATGATTTCCACATCAAGGATTGGTCCAAATGTCTATGAAAATAAGAACAAATGGGAGCATTGAAGGCTGAGGTAATGATTAGACTGTCCTCCACTGCATCTCATCAAATCAGTGGCACCACTAATAAAGAGCAATGAAAACATTCACATGAGCAAAACTGGTACTGTGATAGACTCACCCCAAATAATGCTCTCAAATCAGGATCTCTGAATCGAAATGGGATGTTAGACACATGGAGTCTCTTGGCTGGAGTCCCTTGGTCCTTTGGAGTGGAACAGCCTCCAGTGGGAGTTACTGAGGTCCCAGAGACTGAAGTGGGTGTTGTAGCTGATGTTGCAACCAGGGCAGTTCCACCACCAGGAGATAACGTGACCCCTCCGATCTGACTCGGAAGAACCCCTGCAGCTGCTGCAGCTGCGTGAACTGCTTGCACCACTGCAACTTGTGCCATCTGATCTCCACTGTCTGAATCTGTCTGCTGCAAAATCATCAATAAATGTACAAGGTACATCTTATGGCCATCTTACATATCAAAGTGTCATTTAGAGCAAACAATCATCCAAGTTATTCCAACACCATGCAGATGCAGCAATTCTCCACACCCTAGCGACTGGGCACAGACTATGCCCCCATGGAATGAAAAAAAAAAGAAGAAAACTGGTAGCTCCCTTGGAACTCTTTCTATTATTATTTCAATTCCATGACAAAAACTCAGGCCATTAGTCAAACAACGGCTGCTTCAATTCATCTTCTGTCCTGCCAAAACCACAACTGAAACCAATTTTGTGAACTCTACAGAAGAGCAGATAGGCGGAAAGATACTTGGTCTTGATCCAAATTTGTCTCTTCGGGCTGACTGACCCTATTCACAGATGAGCGCAAGCTGGCGTGTATTAGGGCACAAGTCCAACACTAACATGAAAGGAATCAAAATAAACAGGCTCAGCTAGGAACAGGAAACAAAAAAAAAGTTCACATGACTGCAACCTCCTCGACTGGAGGAAAAGGTTCTTGCAGCCCATGCAGGCTGAGACTCTGGGTGCAAGCGAACGGCGAAAATTCTGATGTATTATACTGTCCCTAAGCTCATTATGTTTCTTGGGTAGTAGGAGCGGAGTGGTGAAAGAGTAGCAGAGGGGGACTTACGAACTGCATGATGGCTTCGTAGCTTGTATTTTGATACCCATCCAAACGCTTCGTTTCCACCTGGGCATGTGCCTACCGACCAGCGAATAGAACTTGCTAAATTGGCCTATATCGACAGAGCTAGGAATACCATTGCTCCAATTAGTGCTACAACGGAAGCACAGGCATGTTCTACTAAAAATAAATGGAAAAGTTGAGGAGCCTCCTAAGCATGGCCATTAATTTATACACACCGAAAGACCAACTTAGGTGGTGGTGGGGACGCTTAATGGGTTCCAGCAACGTCTATACGACGTCCTCATTTGGTCTCACCATTATTCTTCACTGCCAATGACGTACATGGAACAGAATGGAACTTCGCCAATACCCATTTGGCCATTCGTCTTGCCAACCGGCAAATGGTTCCATTTCCTCCTCCCCCTTCCCCCCCTTCGATGGCGAGGAAAAGCCAAGACGAAGAAAATGATGACTGAGAACGGAAAGAAAGAACAAAATTGATAATCCTTGGACTCACGCCAAGCGCTACGTTAGTCTTTTTCGCTGTCGTCCCCAATCGCATTTTTATCTTTTTGAATATTTATTGACCCGAGAGGAAGAGGGGGATAGAGAGGGGGAGAGCTTTCGTATTCAAAAATCGATCACGGATTCAGACTGGAAGGCGAGAAGCTCTAGCTGAAGGCAAGATCCTAATAAACATATAATAAAGGCTTGATCGATACAAAAGCCGGAACAGGGAGAGATGACTCCTCCCATCACCCACCGGGTCTAGTTTTTACGTCATCGCATGGATCCATACCGAAAAAGAGGAAACGCCCGAAACTGGTTCAGGAACTTACACTCTGTTGCTCCACGGGAGGCAAGGCAGCCCCCGGTGCGGGCGGTGGGGGTGGAGCCGAAACCGGTGGAGTGTATGGAGGGAGGGCGGGCTTCGGATCCTCCAACTTCACGTCGCTGCTCATGCTCGTGGGGGTGGGGCCAGGTCCAGGGGTCCCGTGCCCGTTCGTCGCCGAGAGGGATCTGGCCAGGGAGGTCGTCCCCGCCCCAGCCGCCGCTAGGGCGGCTGCTGCCGCCGGGGCCATCGCCCCGTACGGATACGCCGCAGCCATCCCCGCTCCCTGCACCATTTGCTGCAACATCGCAAACGAAAACAAGACCATAAGGAAAGGCATGAATCAGAAGAGAGGAATCTCATCTCGTGCCTCTCACTCTACGAAGCACGGGGATGAACTATGATCAGAAATTCTTGGGGGATGAACTATGATCAAAAATTCTTGGAAGGGTTATTTATCAGGATACAGGGGCTTTATTAGTTCTGCTAGCGAAAAGATTTACCGTCTCCCCCCCCGTCTCTAAGTTCCCAGAAGAGTAAATACGGAGGAAGAAGCTTGCTTTCTCGTCGGACTAATGATTGATCCTAATGCATCGAGGAACAAATCCCCAGCCCTCCTTCCAACTCTTTTCCATAGGCGCGAGCAAACAAGGACATACGGGGAGCGAAGACCGAAACTCTCCGGATCGATGAAGGAATAGCGGATAGAGTGAGACAGAGGATGCTTGGCACAGGAAACCATTAATGGAACCAACTTCCTCCGGCCTCTTTTTTTCCTTCACCCTCTCTGACTACGACCCATCATACGGCCAATCTGAGCGTTCTACCCCGGTACACTACATCACAACGAACGAGAGACAGAATACGTGCAAGTCGAGGCGAGGCAGAGGAAGGAGCGAGCAACCCGATATGCTCAACGGCGTGAGATGATGACTCGACGTGGAACCATACATTCATTCCCCCCCTCGCAAACACAGGGCAACTCGTACCCAGCGAGCTCAAATCCGATAAACCATGGATCTAATTCTCTAGGGGCATTAACGGGAGCGTCTACCAATGACGAACGTCATGAGGAAAAAGAAAAAAAAAACATGGGACGCAGTGCTTTCGTTAATGAATGAGATCAACGCGGCCTGCTCCTTTCTCGGCATATGGCACGTCGTCGTCACGAGACAGTTAGCATGCGGACATTCGAATGTCACGTAATGATCCCCCCAAGAAAACCCCACGCGAAGAGGATTTGCGACTCACCGTGTAGGGAAGCTGCGGCGGAAGGAAAAAAGCGCTGGAACCCCACAGTTTGACGGCCGTTTGGATACGACGCCTCACACGAATAAGAGACCAGAGCTACCGTATTCACACACCAGTCGATATCGGGGAACCGTTTTTTTTGCCAACTCCTGCGTTTGGAACGCCCGAACACGTAAATATACTCTAAGACGGAGAGAACAGGGGATGGAAAATGGACGGACGACGGAGAAGAAAGCCAAAAAACGACGGGCCGAAGCGAGGGAAAGGCTCCAGCTGGAGTCCGCGGTGTGCGATCAATGAATGCCCCGGCTCGGGCTCCCTTCAACCAAGACACACCAACTCAATCCCCGGTCGGCCTCGCGCGCCTGTGCCCGCTGTGAATCGATGCTAGGCTTACAAACCCAACGTCTAGCCTACTGGGAGGGGTAGCTTTTCGGAGCTCGGGGATTGCTTCTATCTATCTATCTCGATCTTCATCTCATCACCCAGGCAGAGCACATAGAGAGGAAGAGAAAGATCCTTCCCCCCTCACATCCTAGCGAGGAACAGACTGGAACAGCCATCCACTGTTACGAGGCTGGGCCAAGAGCCAAGCACCAAAATAGAAACATAGACCAGCTTGCTCGAAGAGAAGACGAAGAGAGCGTAACCCCTCTCGGCAAAGCTCTGCGCCCTATCTCTCATTTACGCATCCTTAGGGGCCAGGCGCATGCATGCAAGGGAGGAAGGGGAGTCGCACGTCAGCCTTGCATTGTAAATGTAAGCCGTCTCTCGGAGGGGATCAACAGCTCCTCCACATGTGTCATTCATCAACATAGCCAGCCATTCCGCTTTCTCACCCATAGCTTTCCCCTCCGCGCGTCTCACGCACATGCACGCCCTGGCTCCAACACTCCGACCCGTAAATACTTCCTCGATTTCTCGTGCACCAAGGGACTCCTCGGCGACTCTCAAAAATGCTTAATCAGAAGTTTCCGCTCCGAAGTCCAATAACTCCTTTTTTTTTAAATAGGAACGTAGGCTGTAAGTCCGGAAGTACGGCATTCATATGCAACCGACATCGCTGCAAGTCTGGAAGACGCGTAACGAAGCGTAAATAAAGACAAAAAGGAGGACAATCACAATCGGAAATGGAATAAAGCTGTTCGTGCGTAGTTGTGCCCTAGCGCCACCTCGGCATCGATAGAGCAAATTGCAGCCATCCCTTTCACTCAGTAGATGTCATCCTCTCTCGTTACATATGGGGGGGGGGGGCATGTGAGCCCCCTGACCTTCGATAAGCATTTTTCGAATTAGTATTCAATGCTATTTCCCAATCTTCCGTCGTCCTGTTGTCTCATCCTTTCTTTGTGACCATGAGGTGGTCGGAGATCTTTTCTCATTTTACGGCAAAAATAAACAAGTTACCCAATTATTACATCAATGAGAATCAAGAGCTATTATGCTTAGTTATATTATTTATATCAAATGGCATTTGACTGCGGAGTAGATGAAGGTAACCACTCCCGATACGCAGCAAAAAGAAATTCCTATTGCACGGAGAGTGCAAGAGGACAGGATGAAATATTTAAGGTCTGTATCGTAAAATGGGCCTAACTCATTCCATTTTGCTCAACTTTAGAATACCTATCGTAAATTACATTTTGCGAGCATTCAACCACTCCCATTCGTCACGGGATTGCCGACATATCCTTCTGAGCGAACTTGATTGCTACTGTGCCCTAAAAGTATTCATTACTCTTAGTGTGATCGCAGTATCCTGACAGGCTCCTGGCATAACCTCAAAATTTAGGCCTAAGAAATAGCCATGAGCGAAGACGGCTCTGCCGTCATACATTCATGAAATTCTTTCTCTCTTATCATTTCAACACCAGTACCGTATTTTGCATGCTCACATTCTACAATTCAATGATATTAGCCTGGAATCTCTTCATCCAATTTCTTACAATCTTTTGCCTCCTAGATCTGTATAGTGAGGCAAGCTTACGAACACAACGAATCCTATTACGTCGCAGATTTCTACCTATCTTGCATTAGGTTCTCGCATCACGTAACCGATCATGACCATGTATGTCCTGGATCACTAAGAAAACATACCCATATTTCGTGGTCCAACTCTTCCCAATCCGCATTGATATCAGCCTTTAAAATCGATTTATGACGGCTGTAGGAAGCAGGATTGCGGAATGACTCCACATTCCAGTCGAACTGATCTTCGGTTGCATCGATTTCGAATCCGCGACCAAGAAGGTAAAGATAAATCATTTGGCCGAGGACAGACGGACAGAACGAAGCCGAAAGATAGGACAGTTGAAAGGAAGAGACTGATGCGCGGGACCTAGGATATGAAATTACCACGTGACCCGGCGCGGTCACTGAGAGCCAATCAGAATCGACCAAAATGACGTCATCCGGTCGGCAGCACAACACCTGTGGCTGCGAGGGGCAATCCCACGCGGACGGCTTCTCAGGAACCAGTGACTCTAGCATGCGTACAGTATGCCTCTTGGAATCGCCTCGAGAAAACTTTCCGCCATTCCCACGTTCCAGTAACATGGTAAAGATCGGATGAAACGTGGAAGCACTCGATCGCGAGGAGACCCTAATTTTATCATAGTACCCTGAGAACTGCAAAGCGAAATGTGTCCAGTCAAACATGAGCATGTTTGGCTGCATATATTACGCAGTAGAGCGTCCCAAAACGATCTCTACGCTGAATGAAAAAAGCCACATGAACACTTATCTTAAAATAAGATATTACAAACTAATATGAACATTTCAAAGTTGATTTTGAGGCAAAACTAGGCTTTGACACAAGCAAATCAGTGCATTCTGATCATCAATGGTCTACATGGATTGATTTGTGAAAGTTACTTTTAGAAATAATATATTCATCTTGCTTTTGAGTTCTTTCCTGCTTTGATTTGGTTATGATAACATTTCTAGAAGAGAATGGCTTGTGCAGGGACACAATGACCATCAATAGTTTTACAAGTCTGGATGTGTGCAAGAAAAGTGCAGTTCTGGCCTACCTGGCTGCAGTATGAGGCAACAACAGAAAAACAAAACAAAACCCTGTGACTTCAACCTTTTTTTCCTTTTACGCACTTGAAAGAAGATAGTTGCCATAATTATAGTGGAAAGTCCATTTTTCAGACCAATGAGTAATCATAGACTCTCAACCATAGTTCATTTCTCTGTTCTGTTTTCTCCAAAACTTGCAAATCAAGTCTTATAGGCAACATTTTCAGTTTACTCCCTCCCAAACAATAAGAAAAATTATGCATATATTTCTTTTCTTCCCAGAGAGAGAGAGAGAGAATGCAACAAAGGCTCCCTCTGCAACTGAATTTGGGACAAATCTCTGATATAACACAAGTGCCATTTTGTAATGCTGCTCATAGAAGATTCACAATTGGAACATGTCACACAGTATTCAAACTTGGAATGGATAAGCTGAATATGCATTTCCTAAATTTCTGCCATGAACTGTTGAGAGAAGTCCACATAGAATGGCTTGGAGATAGAAAATTGCACAGCAGTGATTTGGGCATTTTGAAAGTAGGCAATTTTTTTCACCAGGATTAAAAAATGTCAAGGTTTCAGAAAAGAATCACGAAAGGAATCTGCACTGCAAATATCAGCAACAAAAGGTCATCGGTGCAACCCAAGTGAGCTAAATTAATTTGCTAGCATTCCCTTTCTTAGTATTAGTAGCCACTTTCCAGATAATCTGCTCTAAATACAAACCAGCCAAATCTATGTGACATCCAGAGATCCAAACCAGTTTCACCAATTAAGAATCACTTCTTACCCATCTCCTCACAAAACTATATTGCATTATGCATGAGCCCTACTTCTGTTTCCTATAGACAACCAGTGGGTGCATCTGCTGATAACCTCAGAAGGTATAATTCCAAAGTTTTGCCCCAGTGGCTGTGCATTTTCACATTCAAAGCACGATCTGACACATATGGTTTATAGCATATGAGAACACGCAGCACATCATTCAGGGATTCCACAGATAACAGCAGTTGTTCCAAGATTGACATCTGCACTGCATTTATCATGTCTATTTCGATGACCTATGGTTGACCTCAGATTCGATCAAGATGGAATCCATGCTGCAGGTTTCCTCTATACCATGCAAGAGGAATGTGGTCCACACAACATTCTTATCATCAGCAGCAACCCATGCTTCAATGATTACTCCCAAATGCAATACCATTCTACATACAAGATACCTGAATGACAAGAATGTCTTGCACCCTGTATCAAGTCTCATCAGCAAGTACCCTGTAGATTCCCAATACCATTCAGCACCAACCACTGTTGAACCTCACACTGATATCTAATTGCTGCTTGTTTTCATGAAATGAACATATTTGTTAAAATGGTTAAAATTAAAATGTTATTTTCCATGAGGCATATTCACGTGAAGTGACAATAATGTGCAGAAAACCACAACAGCAACCAAATATTTCTGAACGGTATTGGCCTATTTCTATATATACAGGGTGACCCAAAAAATTCTACCATTACAGGAATAAGCAATTCAAGTTCGGAATGTACTAATACTAGAGTATATCGTACTATAATACAGGGTTTTAAATACAGAACGAAATTACATGCATTTAAACGAGCGTAACCATAAATAAAACGAAAATACGATTGAATTTGCGGCAACCATTACGATATTTTCCAATTACAGTGGTAACGTTTTTGGGCCACCCTGTATATCATGATGTCACAAACGGCCTGCCACATCAGCAATATTTTTCAAGTGATCAATCCAATCCAACATGAACCACATCCTACAGATGTGGTTCATGTTGCTTATACATTAGTAATTCGCGTAAATTAAAAACTCTCTTTTATATCATCTCTGTTTAAGGCCAATGCATAACATAACAGGCACATAAAAACTTTTGCCAGGATGAAAAGTAGACCGGATCAGAGCCATACTTGCTACTCTTGAAAGGGCATCAACGAGATTTGAAATGATATGGAAATCATCTATATCTTGAAATCTAACCGGTCATCAACTGGTCCTTCCAAGGACAACTTTGGTTCATCGTCTCATTCCTTTAAGGATTATTCCACTAGCTACATTTTTCAGTACGCGACAAAAAAAGAATGCCGCTATAATCGCAGTTCGCCAGTTAAATTGTGCAGGACAGTAAAATAAACGCGTCATGAACCTACCGTTGCTCGTCCGACCTGTGAGATCGAGGGCAGACATCTTACGGCACCCTGTAGTAACTGGACGCGAGCGAACATGACGAGGATTCTCTAGGAATGCACGAATCGTCACGCAACGATAGGTCCATTCGTGGGCATGGCAACGATATCTAGTGCATTTGCTGCGTGTGAAGGGCAAAACTTTGCCGCGCCCCGGTCACGAAGCACACGTTCGTTTCAACATCGAGCAAGGTGACAAATGATAGGCTACCGTAAGCCCCAGAAAATGAGCCACTCTCGACGTACCGATTTCAAGGCGGCGAGAAAGTGAAGCACATCCAAGGAGATGGCTTGAGAGGTAGCAGCCCCGTCACTAGCCATGACTAGAGTCGAATGCAGGTGCGCAAGACGAGAAAACAAGACTAAAACCGTCCGTCCCTATCACCAGGAATGGGAATGGACATGAGCCCAGAGCGAGATCTCTCCAAGGACGACCGCGAGCCACGCTATAGCCCAAGGCCCAGAGGCGTACAGTCACCACGCACCGGGACTCTTTCGTGCTGCATCATCACACTCGCGCCATGTGATCCACAAAACACACGCCACAGCGAAACACCAACGGAGAGCGAGAGAGAGAGCAGGAGGACGGGGGAAAGGAAAGGAATCACTAGTTCTTCTTTGCCTCCTACAGACAGCGTCCTTCGAGGTTCGGTCCCGGTTGCGTCATGACTCACCGAACGACCCCGAATTCCGTGCCAGCCCTCGCACTGACCATCCTTCACGTCTTATCGCTCTCCCTGCCTTTTCTTCCTTTTCCCTCCAACCCCCTACCACTTTCTCTTTACAAGCCGCAAATCGCCTTCACCCCCCTTGTCGCTTCCATGCGACACCCATCCGTTCGTAACGCCTTACACGCCCCATTGCGGGCAGACTGCTCCCGTCCGTGCCCCGAGGAGGCATCACGCCGTTCCTCGGGAGGAGCGGGTTCCATCAAGGTCGACATTCATCTGCTCGGGGAACCGGGTGGGCCATAACCGGTACCGATATCCAACCCTTCATCTCCAGACGGGTTTCCACATTTCCTGCCGAACCACGGTCCGTGCATTAGCATGCCCGGAACTCACCCAAGGGCAATCGAACCGTGACGAGCATCCGAGCCCCGCCGCATCGATTCCCCACCGTTCCGATGCATTCGCAGTGTCCATTTCCCACACCGTAACCGAAACGCGGCAGAAAATGAATGGTGGGTCGAGCGTCGGGGGGTTGACCCTCAGCATTCGAGTGTAAATCAACGTCCGACCCGTCACACTACATCATACATTACCGTATTCGAGCCGAAGAGCCACTTTCAAATTCCATTCTCCAAGTAAGGAGAGCGCGAGGAGAATAAGACAACGCCGATGCCATCCACGCACGAAAAAAAGAATGGACGAGTATCCAACAGAAGTGAAAGGAAACACTGACACAGTTGCGGTCCCCAAAACCGTTGTTTCAAAACCGGCATGGGAGGAAACGTCAGTTGCATCAACCGAATCGGGAAGAAGCAGGAAAAGCGACAGGACTCAATACGTAATGAGGATTCCTTTGTGTGGAAATGTCACTTGCGCTCCGGTTAAGCAAGAACTAACGGAATTTCCCTGCTGGAGCTAAAGGGCTAAGTACAAGTTGCTAAATTTTCCGTCTACATTCCGGAGTCGTGCCCGAGTCACTTACCCTCTTCTTACGCCGTAATCCTGTTCAGAACGGATTGCACAATTCAAATGTCATGAAGACAACAGAATCAACGAACGCCCTACAATCCCCTCATAAATTTCTAGCAAATAATGGGACTTGAGAGCGAAACTCACAGCAACGGCACCGACTGGGATGAGACCTGCGAACTCGTCCGGCCGCGGACCGAGCAGCCCCGGGCCGGAGTTGGCCCCCCCGCTGATCAACGGCTGGCCGACCGAGTTCGCCACGGAGGAGGGGATCGCGCCGTTCAGCATGGGCTGCAGGATTTGTCCGCCGAAAATCGCTGTGGCCATGTTCACCATGAATGTGTCTCTGCGGTGATCTTTCGAGGGGTGAGGGAAAATGATTGCTGGATGTGGAGTGTGGGCGGTTGTCACTTCATGAACTGAATAAAAAATGTAGCACTCGAGGTGAAGGAGGGTTCAGGTTTCACAATTATATATCACGGGAGAAAGGGAATGTACATGTTCAAGGAGGTAGATGAGATTCTCTTCAGATCTGAAAAGTATAAGAACATGAATTTTGAACTGGGTCTGGGATTGGTCATCTGAGGAACAATGGGGGTTGTGAGCCAGAGTTTGAGTTCGTTAAGCATAGCCTTATGGTCTTTCAGTAAAAGCAAGCTTCCAATGGCTATTTCCATACAATGGCAAGAGCATGAATTGATTCCACATTTCGAATGTGATAAGGCTCGACCTTCCATCAGGCCTGCCCACTGTCATGCACAGCAACACACAACATTTAAAAATACATATCAGAAGATAAAGTAGCTGGCATAACTAAGTACTCCAGGGTTATCCAGAATAAAATAGGGAAACATCCTTGCTCTTACATCCAGTATGTAAGTACATCATTCATGAAGTAAAAACAGCACTAGCAGTTTCTTTTTCTTCCAGAGCTTATGTTGAAGTGGATTTCATTTTCACTATTAGTACTTTGTGAAGATTTTGGAGAGCATCTGTGAAATTTTCATCACATTATAAACATTTCACAAATGATTTATTAAAGAATTTGGAAAACAAATACTGATGACAGTTGTAAATGGTGAGCATGGTTCAGGAAGACAGGAACTGCCTTTGAAAGTAACCACATGGCAGTCACAATGACTTGCAATTCCAGCCATGGCAAGGGCATCAGATCTTTCATAGTTACCTGTCATGCATACTTGTATTGGAAAAAAAAAGACTGAACTTGTATTGTTTTTAGTTCAAGTTCAGTTTGGGTTGGAGGTTGGAATAAGCATACATTGTTTGGATTTGAGTTCAAATCTATTCCTGACTACTATAGGGTGTTAACAAAGTTTCTTGATATTTATGTTCCCCTGTCTTTTGCAGCTATTGAGGAGGAAGTGAACCATGAAGGACACCAGTGCATTTAACATAGAAGAGTGACTAGTTATGAGGGTCTGGGAGCATCAAACAAAGAAAAATGGGAAAACAAATAGCTAGCATTCAATACTGATATTTTGGATGCATAACTTCCTCAAGGGACTACGTAAACACAATGTACCAAGGTAATAGATGACCAGGTATAGCATGTTGAGGGCAGGCAGCCATAAGAGTAGGAACCTGCTTTTCAAATGTTTACTAAATACTGACAAGTTGAAAGATGAGTCAGGGGTTAGTGCTGATTTTGCAGCTGATCTCCCACAAAGGGAGATCCTCTGATTTGGAGGATGAAAGGGTTTCAGTGACAAGCTTCCAAATTTGTTGCTTGTTTGAAAGCAATGAGGAGAGGTGAGAATAAGGGAAACCTTTGAGAAGAACCAGAGTTATGCTGAGCAGAGAGAAATACCAAGGTAATAGATGACCAGGTATAGCATGTTGAGGGCAGGCAGCCATAAGAGTAGGAACCTGCTTTTCAAATGTTTACTAAATACTGACAAGTTGAAAGATGAGTCAGGGGTTAGTGGACTAAACCTCCTACTTTCCCAAAGTCACTGTTCGAAGGTTTAAACAACGAACAAACTTTCGTTACTCCTCTCCACTCTTATTCCCTTTGGAAACTCTTCTTGGTCTCAATACGACTCGTCTCTCTTAATTACAATTAGAACTAGTCAATCTTTATAATCACATTTATTTACCTTCCCTCCTCCACAATAAACTTGTCTTGGTCAGGTCTATCATCACCTACCGTTTACACTCAAGTGGCTCACTTTCAAAAAAGAGAAGTCACATTTAGTCTGTCTGTTGGTTCAGTCACTGCATTCCCACTGGTGTTCAATAATTGCAATGGAAATATCCTCATAGTCTTGAAAACTAATCCCAAACAATGATCAGGCAGGCTGCAAGCTGAAGTCTTTCTTTTTATATGCAAAGCAAATTAATTTTTATTACAATACTTTTTTTAAGCTAAATGTTTCCTGCATGAAGGAATCAGGAATCTACAGTCTTTCTGGATCTCAACACAATATATATGTACAACCCAAGGTAAGAGAGTTAGGGTTTTGGTCTCTGCCAGTACTCTTTCACAACTTGTAACCGATGGATCCAATTTTGACATACAGACAGAGCCAGAAAGTATAGAATTACTGATAAGAAGTTAACATGCTATATGTGACAACCCATTATGTAGTCCCCTTCTCCTAATGTAGCTCCCTCAATATAGCTTAGTCTTAGTGTGCCTCATGCCCCTCCTCCCATAGCCAACATTGATAGACTACTACTGCACATGGCTTATGCAGCTAGATTTCTTCTTTCCTCCATTCTCCATGATAATCAAGCTACTGGGCCTGCAATATTTCCAGCAGATCAGAAGCTCCTACCCTGTTCCTCTAGTGACCCACTTTCCCCAGCAACCACTTCTCATCTACATTAATTTAGGAACACAGACAATATTCAACCTAACAAAATAACCCGACCTCCCTGGGAAAGAAGGAGGAGTCCGTCGATACCTCTTTCAGAGAGTTACCCTGTTCAAAATAAGGGTAAACATCGTTGTGTCTGAGGGAGCTGAGGGCGTGCTAGCCCTTGGTTCCTCTTTCCCCCCACTCACTACCAGGTTTAAATTTGCTCCTATATTAGGGTGACCATATTTTTTTAAAAGGAAAATCTGAGACATTTTCCCTCCGTTTACAGTTGACAATAGGCCAATGAGTTGGTTGCTACAAATGAGTGGCACTGAAAGGAAATATCACTGGATAGTTTTCTGGGCAGGGCAGTACCTCAAAACCAGGGGCTGTTCCAGAGAAAACAGCCTGTCCTGGTTTTACTGGGACAATCTGGTCACCCTATCCTATATTGAGCCTTTCCTTACTACTCCCACACACACACACTAATGGTCCCACCCGTTCTCCATTCATCCATCTTGCAATCCCCCCCCCTTCAGCAACCACTTCCAACCCTGCTTGTTCTATTGAATAAAATGCCTGTTTCAATCAATTTCTGCAGGAATCCTAGTGTGGCTTCTTGGAAGGTCTAGGTCAACTGGCATGCAGAATCTGCATTTAAATGCCATTTAGTATTTGACAATAGGAGCACAAAATTTGACACTACATCAGATACCATTAAAGGGCAATGAATGCCATTGACAAGTGTCAGAGAATCTGAAAAGTGCTACATTCAATAGAGAAAACCAACATGGTGCTATAGGAGCTCCTGCGTTAGCAACAATAAGGTTTAGCTGCCATTAATGAAAGTCCACAAGGAAAACACAGCTGCACTGAGCATATATTAAATCTCCTTTAATACGACGAGATTTGACTTAGCCGTTCATCATTAGGCAAGTAAAAAAACTCTCATGGACCCAGGAAGAAATGGGACTGTACAGGATAAAACCACATATCTAAACAACACACACCAATGAACTGCTTCAACTTAGGTCTTACTTGAAAGAAATACATCAGGATATGGAATGACAAAATAAAAGAATGGTCATGGGTGCTAGTGGAAAACTCAATTATGAAGCCTCATGACATGGGTTAGACCTGGGCCTAAAATCTGTTTTAGTTACGGTTTGGTTAAATGAAAGTTACAAGCAAATAATTTTTCTTGACAGATACGTCGACGTTTGGGCAGACTGGCTTCAAGCTTGCAGTTAGCAATAAATGTGTAAGCCTCAATATAATTACGAAAATGTGGTCTACATATTGATCTTTTCCCCCTAAGGCTTAAGCTTTGAAAACTAAGCAAGGATATTCTGATCACGTGGAGGGGGCATAGCCTAGGCCTAGTGTACCGTTAGATGAACAGGCCCATGGAAGCAGCTTTGGGACTGAAAATTTAAAATATATATCGCAGACAACAGAGTGAGCCTACAAATGTAATGTTTCAATCACAACAAAGATCTCGAGGCTAGAGCNTGTAATTAAATCCTTGTGTCTGTTATAAGTTGGATTGTTTTATTGGGCTGGAGGGACCCTTTCTTCCTCCTCAGGCAGCTATGGAGAAAGTCTCTCAATGGGACAAGTTTTATTCCCATTTGTAGCACGTGTCTGAGGGTGTGCTAGCCCTTGGTTCCTCTTTCCCCCCACTCACTACCAGGTTTGAATTTGCTCCTATATTAGGGTGACCATATTTTTTTAAAAGGAAAATCTGAGACATTTTCCCTCCGTTTACAGTTGACAATAGGCCTATGAGCTGGTTGCTACAAATGAGTGGCACTGAAAGGAAATATCGCTGGATAGTTTTCTGGGCAGGGCAGTACCTCAAAACCAGGGGCTGTTCCAGAGAAAACAGCCTGTCCTGGTTTTACTGGGACAATCTAGTCACCCTATCCTATATTGAGCCTTTCCTTACTACTCCCACACACACACACTAATGGTCCCACCCGTTCTCCATTCATCCATCTTGCAATCCCCCCCCCCTTCAGCAACCACTTCCAACCTTGCTTGTTCTATTGAATAAAATGCCTGTTTCAATCAATTTCTGCAGGAATCCTAGTGTGGCTTCTTGGAAGGTCTAGGTCAACTGGCATGCAGTTAACAGAATCTGCATTTAAATGCCATTTAGTATTTGACAATAGGAGCACAAAATTTGACACTACATCAGATACCATTAAAGGGAAATGAATGCCATTGACAAGTGTCAGAGAATCTGAAAAGTGCTACATTCAATAGAAAAAACCAACATGGTGCTATAGGAGCTCCTGCGTTAGCAACAATAAGGTTTAGCTGCCATTAATGAAAGTCCACAAGGAAAACACAGCTGCACTGAGCACATATTAAATCTCCTTTAATACGACGAGATTTGACTTAGCCGTTCATCAGTAGGCAAGTAAAAAACTCTCATGGACCCAGGAAGAAATGGGACTGTACAGGATAAAACCACATATCTAAACAACACACACCAATGAACTGCTTCAACTTAGGTCTAGGAAAGAACTTCAACTTAGGAAAGAAATACATCAGGATATGGAATGACAAAATAAAAGAATGGTCATGGGTGCTAGTGGAAAACTCAATTATGAAGCCTCATGACATGGGTTAGACCTGGGCCTAAAATCTGTTTTAGTTACGGTTTGGTTAAATGAAAGTTAAAAGCAAATAATTTTTCTTGACAGATACGTCGACGTTTGGGCAGACTGGCTTCAAGCTTGCAGTTAGCAATAAATGTGTAAGCCTCAATATAATTACGAAAATGTGGTCTACATATTGATCTTTTCCCCCTAAGGCTTAAGCTTTGAAAACTAAGCAAGGATATTCTGATCACGTGGAGGGGGCATAGCCTAGGCCTAGTGTACCGTTAGATGAACAGGCCCATGGAAGCAGCTTTGGGACTGAAAATTTAAAATATATATCGCAGACAACAGAGTGAGCCTACAAATGTAATGTTTCAATCACAACAAAGATCTCGAGGCTAGAGCTGCAAAAAAAACTGGAGTACGTCTTTCACACACCACTCTCGACGAACCCAAGATCGCGACCCAACACAAGCAACAAGCGTCAGCACAGCCCCACACGACAGGCGCCATTTGAGAGCACCAAGGACGCATGCGTTCTTTGTTCCCTCGCGCGCAGACGCACGCATTCCACTTGTTGGTCGCCCCTCGGCCCCGAGCCATCCGCTGCAAGCAGCTGGCTGTATCCGCGAGGAAGACATTCACCTACTTTAAATGATAATACGACTCCATTTTCTTCCCTTCTAAGGCGACAGGAGTCCTACAAATTGCATGCGTCTATAAAAAGTGGCGATGAAACGTCGTCGCAGGCAGGCATTGTCAACAATTTGGGCTGTACCGACTGCCCATTCTCGGATCATGCTCATCGGCTGGAGCCGATTGTGATCTCTTGATTGCGAATAAATTAGCATGAGATCGCATACTAACTCATATTGGTCCATTTGGAAGCCATGAGATATTTATCAGTGGGCCTTCTTAAAACTATCTCCAGCCTGTCTGCGCCTGTCAGTGGTTAGCTTGTTGCCTATTGCTGCTGTTGATAGTGTTTAACGACAAAAGCATAACAAAAATGCAGGTGCAATATTTTCCCTCCTTTCCCCCCGCCGGCCCCCACAATCGGGCCGTTCTTAATCCAACATATCTGTCTGGTCGAGGCCGGCTAGAAGAGGCTTTCAGCGAGGCAGGCGGGCCGGCGCCTAGCCGCATTCCCACGCTCGCGTCTTTTTTCTTTCGTTTCGCTTCTCCTTTGGGCATCGGCATCATGCAACTCTGCCGATGGTGCAACACCGGCGGCCATCGGTACATGGTACATCGGTACATGGCGGATACATCGGTACAGTCCTGCCAAAAATCCTCGATTCGTGGTATCGCCTAATATTTATATAAGCTTATATAAATATAAGGTATAAGCTTATTTCAAGAAGCACTCGTGTAAAAACTACTAAGGATATTGCATTAATGTCTACAAATCAGAGACAAATAGCATACAATTTTTGAACTATTCGTTGCTTTTTGAGCACATTTTTACATCGGACAGGAAAACTACCCATCGGTTGACGGGAGACATGTTCAGGTACTTCCTCCGGTAACTTAATTGGTACTTAGTACTGAGGTAACTTCTGCTTTCTGCAAGAATACTTATTCCGAGCATCTTCGATATCGATCGGCATAAATAAATATTTGAAGCCATCTTCGGCAGGAACACTTGCAGGCAAACGAGGCGTCTCTTCCTGAAGACAAAATCACGATAATCCCAGGGACACACGAGCCTGTTCGAAAGCTGCATCACGTCATTTTATTTCTATTAATTACCACAATTTCCGCATCGAAAAAAAAGTGAGATCATTGCCCTCAGTAAACGTCCATCACAGCACCGACATCGGCGACATTCAGCCGACCTGGACGCTCGCTCGACCCAAACAGCTGCTTCACCACGCTTTCTGCAAATACAAGATGCATGACGGTGAAGATTCTTCCATAATTATTGTAATTATTAAAATCCCTATCATCTCGCCAAACGTTAAATTAGCCGATTGACGGTTTGCCGACTTACGATTCGACTCGTCCAACTTCATTCTATTGTGATTATGCGGGGACTGAAATCACCCGACTCGAATCGTCACACGAGGTCCACGAAGCCGTTTTCCGAACGGCTTGGTGACAAATCCCTCGGTGACGAGGGATTTTCGTCACCGGTTTGCCGGATCCGGTCGAAGCCAAACTGGTTTTCGAGATCGTTTCGAATGTTATGCCCTATCGCTGCACGGAACGGACGTGGGCCCTCGTCAAAAGTTTTCAGTTCGCTTCGGCGACTCGAATACTTATCCCCTCCATCCGAGTCTCGTTGAATTCAACATAGGCGAGTTGTACGTCGGCGAATCGTCGTTCGGCGGCGTGCCAACACCGCTCAATAACAGGACACGGAGCCCCCTGCATATGTCACGATTCTAGCACTCCAACTCTTCATCAATCTCACATAATTGTACCAGAAAATAATTGAAAATGCATATAAAAAGTGGCTAAAGAATGACTTCACAATCTTTCGTCTGATTGCCATGCCCATAATAATGACGATGCGCCCGTGAAATTTTGAGGATAAACAGTTCTGCTCTTCTTTGATCGAATGCAATTTATTTAAAGGAAATGCGACCGATGGTTTCACACAATTATTTTACTGTACGAAGTAAATTAAAGTTTGCAGTTAGGCAGCATCACGTTAACATGCTACACTAAACTTCTATATTTTTTTCTTCAATTTTATGCATAATAATTTAATAACTTCTAAAACAAATAGCGTAAATACAATTATGATTGAAATTCCAGAAAAATATCGAAGGCCCCCACGTATCCCCTTGCCTCTGCTCTAAAAAATGTTTATCCAAGAGCGTAAGGGAAAGTAATGTGCGCGCAACAGCGACTTAAAAAAAAAAAAAACTTTTGTTTTCTTTTTTCCAGCAGAAAAATGATTGGAAAAACTATTGGCCGTATTTCCTTTAACACTTTCAATCCCAGGGATTCAAATGCGCCGTGGCTCGGGACAGAAAGTTTTAAATATAAATTAAATCCGATTAGGAAAAAGTAGTTCTGTTAATCCTCAAATTGCATGGGCATGACCGATACACTAAATTATTACAGGTGTATCGGCTCTCAAAGCTATGAGCTTACTCTTGCCAGACTCAATGGCCTGGCATATTTCACATGACTGATGACGACTGAAAATGAATTATGCAGATATCAATCCCTGTCAGTCCCTTCAGAATGTGGTGTACAAATTATTTAATGATGATGCTAAAATGATACTTGGTAATGTATGCAATGTGAAATGAAACTTCTGTGCAACTCAGACCTTTACTGAGGATGAAGCTTTCTTAGGGCAAAAGGTAAGGGAGACTATAGCTCTGATGCTGCATTTCTCTGCTTCTGCATGAGTGCTCATTACATTTTTCTATTTTCAGGCATCATGAGGAGTCATGACTCATCTATTAAATGCAGTGGAAAAGTTCTAGGACTGCTACAGGGCAGTGCCATTGCATGTATGATTTAAAAAAAACACCAAAGACATCATGATGTATAGGCAGTGTGTTGCTAGCATCAGTCAAGTCAAATTTCTAATAAAACTTCAAGATTTTTTGCTATTTGGATAACTGATTGATTGAAGCACTCCTGTTTTCTGGCTTACAGTTGCATTGGAATAATAGATGGCAAAGTATTAAATTTGGAAAAGGGGGTTTAAAATAAAACAAACCCTTCATGGGTGCCCAGCCAAGTGCTAATAAACCTCTACCACTAAAAAAACCACTGACAATTTGGAGTTGACTCAGGCTTGAAAGCTGTCCTGTTCCATTTACACTTTTTGCCATTCTTTTCAGCTTGTGTTTGATTAGCGGAAGCTTAAACAGGAACTTGGTTTATTCAGTTCAGTTTTGTAAGGTGCATCTATTTTAACACTTTGAGTCCTGGCAACTTGAATGCACTTATGGATGTACAACATCATATGAAAGCTGCAGAGCTCAAAGTATTAAAGAACCATATGTCAAGAGTTTGTATCAATCACAATACACTTTAACTAATTATACCCATAGTAAAACTCAGTAATTTGTATTCAAATATCATGAAATTCCTATAAATACCAAATACAGTCTTGGGTATCTCTTCTGTGACTTATCACAATAATATAGCCTTTCGTAAAAGTAACTTTAACTGACATCAAAACAGACCTTTGCTGGCAAATCCACGTGGAGTTAGTTTCTTCTGCTTTGGACTGAAATTTTTTGGACTGCGCCTGGGTTTCACTTTCACTCCAGATTTTCTGTAAATGCAAACATAAATTGACCTCTTTCAAACTTCAGTCTTTTTGCCTCCAAACAAGAGTCACCAAAGCCTGGATAATGACCAGGTCAGAAGTGAGTCTTCTACAACCTTCTTGTACCACCACAGGAGGAGAAAAAGCATAATGGTATTTAAGATATATGAAGAACAAAGAGGTTGACAGTAAACAATTCAATGTCTCAAGACAGTACATAATAATGCTACACTAGGTGATGGATGCTGGGGCAATGGAGGAAGGGATGCAGTGCAATGAAACAGGTCAAGCTGGCATTTCCTTAGATCCAACATGTCATCTTCCTTAACAAAACTTGCAAATTCCACATTTATTTTGAGGGTCTAATTAATTTTATAGACTTTATGTCAAGAAAGAAGCTCACTTAGAAATCTACTTACCTACTCAGAGGATGAACCATCAACCGAGATCTCCTCTTCAAAGATGCAGACGAAATACGCCTGGGTTGGGATGTTGGTGATGAGGATGAAGAAGAAACAGCAGAGACTCGTTTCCTGGCCTTGGATTCTCGGTCTCTTGAGATCATGGCCATGCGCTCGCTTGCCTCCAATTCAAAGAAAATCTCATACAAGCTCTGTTGACACCTCTCCACCTGTTTTTGGGCAAAAAGCAGAAGGATCAAGAAACATGGAAGGAAAAAAAAAAAAAGGGCTCATCTGCTGATATATGATATGATGCTTAACTCACCTCAGCAAGAAGCTGTCTCCTGAGGAAGGCATCATTGTCCTCTTTTATCCCCCGAAAGTGGAGAGATTCTTGTTGAAGCCTCAGCCACAATTGAACACTCTCCTTCAGCATGCTCTTCATGCTCTGAACACGCTCCGTCTTCAGGAGTCGGCGCACCAGGTATCCTTTGACCAAAGCCCCTATCTTCATCCTCACTTTTGGTTTCATCTCCTTTATAACAGAACCAATACATGAGAATAACTCACAGAAAGCAAAGAGAACAACTGTATCATGCCTAAGGCAGGTTCCTCTACACCTACTTGGATTTTGTTCATCAATGGTGAAGGAACCTTCATGCCATTCATGTGCGCGGAGACATGTGAAGGAAGTGAAGAGGAAGAATCCCATCCTGAAACATCCTTATGATGTTGAGAAAGAGGAACTGCGCATAGTTTTTGTATTAATTTCAAACCCTTCTTATCTCCTGTCAGTTTATTCATTTCAGCAAGAAGTCTTCTCTCCTCCTCCTCAAACTGCTTCCTCAGTTTTTCCTGCTCCTTTCTCTGTCGCTCTTGAAGCCATTGCAATTCTAAGGCATGCTGCTCTTCAAGTTCCTTGGAAAGAGTCCAGACTCGTTCACCTTGATGCTTCAATTTATTTTTGGATTTTGGAGTTACATTCACATCACTAAGCAGCTCTTCCAGACTTTGTAACCGGGGGGAAGGATTGCCTTCTCCTGCATTCTTCTCATTGTAACTTTTGATAGAGGAAGAATGAAGACTTGAATCTGTGACAGAGTCTGGCCTCATTTCAGAGACAAAGACAGAATCATTTAAAGCTGTGTTCCCACATTTGATGTCAGATGGCAGTGTGTCAGACTTCTTGATTTCACATGCTTCTGAACATGATGAGGCGGGTGGATGATACGGAGAGAGCTCACTTTCGTCATTGTGATCAGAGCCCTTTGAAACATCAGCAGAATCAACCAGAGGTAAAATGCAAGGAACATCTTGAGAGATACTTTCATCCAAACCTTCCACCTTTTCAACTGAAGTCAAATATTCAGGAGGAATTTCACAGCACTCATGCTCTCCAGTTGAGAGATGGTCTTGCTCAACTCCAAGAGAAGGGGAAAGGCACAATCGTAGAGTTTCTTCCTCTTCGCTTGTCACAGGTGTCTGTGAAACATTTTGAAAGTGGAAGGAATCATTCTCCATAGCACTTGATACAGAGATGTGATGATCCTCATCACTTGTCACTGACTGGTCACTGGATTGAGACTCATGACTTCGTTTCTCTAAAAATCGCTGGAGTGCAGGACTCGGATGTTCAAGAGTGAATGACGAGCGACGAATTCGATGTGAGCCTGTCTCTGATGATGGAGGAGTACTCTTTGTACCTGAGGTCTGATCTACTGGTGTTGTTTCTGAAGCAGAATCAGCTGCGTGTCTCACAGCAGATGATGACAGGGTAGATTTATCTTCTCTCAATGACAATATTGAAATTTCAGTTGAAAGAGAAGAGGACATTGCACTGGAATTTTCTTCATGCTCACTGCAGCACTTGCCTCTAGGTGGTACAACTTGTACTCGATCTGATGCCTTCTTGCGCCATTCCCTCATTTCATCCCTCTTCCTCTCATTCATCTAGAGAAGCAAATACAATAAATCACCAAATAGAGAGCATTCATTTATTCATGTCAGGCTAAGAAAACTCATAATAGCCTATTAGCCTCTTTTCATTATATATCCACAAAAATCAAAACATTTCCTAACACTCCAATATTGAATTGGCCAAGGCTGATACCCATGTTGCCCAAGGAAAACTAAAATTTTCCATTGTGTGAACACTCTTCATTTTATTAGCTGGCTATAGTTTTCAGATTTAGAAATGCTCTGCATTTTTTGGATTACTGAAAGCTGTTGAAAATTACTTTGTCCATAAAACAGCACTAAAACAGTACATAAAACAGCCCAATCTTTAAAAGCTCACATTCTTGTAGGTTCTACCTCACATTCAACTCTGACTATAAAGTAATCTGACATACCCCTCAGCAGGAACCTAGAGATAGTAGAAATGGATATCTGAAGTGTATTCCACAGGATTTCCATTACATGACAAACCACTTTCAAAACTCAGGCATTAGCTTCCGGTAAAAATAACATGAACATTTACTTTCCATGAGCTTGAACTTCTCCTTTATCCTTTATTACCTTGAAAGACAGTATTCTAAATATTGACCATTGCCACCAAATACTGATCAGAACAGGAGAAGTCAGTCACAAATTGTGTTTCAATAAACATTTTGCATAGACACATTGATACTTGATTTATTTCTGGTTTCTATTAGCACATTTGAAAGTTTCCTTCCAAGAGTGATTGGAATTTAAAAGAGACCTGTGACTTTCATCCTTTTGCAAAGCAAAACTTCATACAAAATCTGGAAATCACAAAAGAAGAGTGAGTATGCAGATGAATCATTCTGACATAGTCACAAAAATTCACACTTTCAACTCTATATTTTATTATCATTTCACAAGTCCTGGAACTTTCAAAGCGGTCTGTAGTTTGACAGACATTCTGCAGAATGTGTCTCAGGGGATAAGTAGAAAACTGCCTCTGTCTCAATAGAGGCTTAGCTTAGATATCATTCCAATAGGCTTCAAACAGGTGATCTTGCTTGCTTTCGAATAAACCAAATTTTGCACTTCCAAACATTGAGGAATATATACTTAAATGGTTTACGATGTCTCAGCCATTCCTTGGACCACTGCTGAAGCAAGAAACGATGGAATACCCTTTAGCCCAAGCCTGGCCCACATCTGAAATCTGTAAGCTTAATCTATGCAAACCCTTATCCGCCAAGGCCTACGGAGTATTCGGCACGCGTTAGATCAATGATAGCGCCTATCATTGATCCTAGGCCTAGATGTAGACCAGATAAACTCACCAGGGGAGGAAGAATGGGTTTGTTCCGGATGCGAATGCGAGATTCAAAGGTACGTCTACCCGAAGGCATTCTCTTCAGTTGAGAAAGATGTAACGCCTCAAAATGAAAAAAGTCCTTCCCGCTATCATTAGCACAAACGCATCAGCCGCAACGAAGCGACCAGCAGAGCAGAACCTAGCTATAAACACAATTGTTTGAGTCTCCACGAGGCCGCCAGTCTCAGAGCGGCGACAGTCCTGACATCTCTCGGGCGAGGAAGACACCAACGCGGGTCGGCTCTCGTGACCATCTCCAGTTGACGTCTGAAATTCCAAGCCAGTTGCGTCAATGCACAGGTGCGAGGCAGATCAGACCAATTGTGATTTAACCGCTTTGCCCTTCTCTATCGAGTGATATTGTGACTAATCACAATCTATTTCCCCGGAAAAAGAGTCCGTCAGCGTAACATTCGGCGAGGATACGTTCTTAGAATGGCTTTCAAAAGGAGACAGTCGGGAAACAGTCTCGGTTATTCCTTTTTTCATGTTTCGTCACGTCACCACAATCAATCACTGCCCTGGTACAGCGCCAGGGCAGATTCCTACTGTGATTTTGCAAATGAATTCGTTCTTCCTCTGACATGGGTTTCACAAACTTAATGTTAATTCCATGAGAGATGATGAGTCTTCTCTTCACCATGGAAAAGGGTTTGAATTGCATTTATTAGTTGCGATTCACTCGACATAGGCTATATCCCCTATGCTTCCACGGGAGTGGAAGAAACGCTGTGGCTTGTGCAAGGGAAATTAAAAAGACGATGGCAAGGAAAGGGAATCCATTTACGTCCGTCTTTCGAGAATTCCTTCTCCATCAATTTGGGTGACATTCAAAGCTCATCAATCGTGGCATTCAGCAGGGGAGGGAGGCAATCCCGGATTCAAAGCCCCGTGACGAGGGCTGGCCAATCGGGAAATCACGCTCACACGACAAACGGAAGTCCTAAATCGATTAGACGAGGCCGGAGTGGATAACAGTCCGTCTTCGCAATCGCGATTCCATTCAAGTCGGTCAATTTCCGTTCCCGTACATAGAGAAGGAACCAGAGAGCCTCAAGAGGAGGCTCGTTGAATTTCCGATTAAACGATCAAATTGCGAACAAAATATCAGATGAATTAATAATGACACCTCATGACCAGCACTAAAAACCGCCATAAGCCTTGCAAACATTGCCTCCCATCAACAACCCTCTTGGTCGACATCCCCCCCCCCCTCCCCCTCCAACTCGCTCCATTCCTCCTGTTTCCCGCTTAGAGCTGTCTTCGCCTCCGTCCGATGCTGTGCGATGGAGGAAGACTCTTCACCTGTGACGTGTGCAGGCAGATGTACTCGTTGTCGATGTACATTAGCCATCGATTTCAATGCATGGGCAGCTTTTTTCATGCCGTCGAGCTGTGAGAGGGGGGAAATCGATACAGAGGGCGGTATTTCCGTATATTTATGTCTTCCCATTAATCTTCCGAATTCCGCGATTGCTCGAGCTTACTGACACCTCGAGGCATCATTCTACCTCAAAATACATCGCCAGTTGGCAGGCAGTTTCATGAAATCGTACCCAAGACTGAATTATTTATCGTGCACCGCGTTCGTCTGGCAGTATTGCCATCAACTGCAAGTCTTGTAACGAAACCCTGTGCATGGGAGAGTTTTTGAGGTGTACCGCACAAGGGCAAATTACGAAATCTAGGACACAGCAAGCCATTCTCACGCGAATGGCTTGCATTGTGTTTTGCCACTTTTTTAGCTTGATTTCACTTGCATGTTTCAATGCTTCACTTTAATTTAATTAAGTAGTTATTGCTGGATTGCTGGAAACAAATTTAATGTTAACTTATAGGGAAAAATGAAGTAATTTGTCCTGTATAAAAAAACGATTTTTTTTTTAACCAAATTTCTTCAAAAAGTAAAATGTTAAAAAAAAAAGAACGGAATACGGGGATAGTAAATCGAGTGCGAAAGTATTATCCTACACAAGAGATTCCAGTGTTATTCGTACTATTTCAGATGAAGTTTGTCAAGGCAGTAGACATGTAAGATATTCTCTAAGTGTCTTTCCAAAGATGTTTATTTCTGACCATATATTTCAAGATAGAACTATTGATGGGCGAGGGACTCCGTCAATCGATGAAACTGCCCGCTATAATTTATGGGAATTATTCCCAGTCCAGTCTAAAATTTCAAAACTTGATTTTCACCTATACGTCCCGTTACAGGGGCGCATGAAAATATTGTAAATCACGCGCAATGCCACTGAATATACGTTTTATTCGACCATAGAGAATACAAGACAAGAACAATGGAAAATATCAGCACCTTTCTAGAGTATAGAAGACACGGGGCACTGAAGAAGCACAATGAATACTCAAGACGTAAAAGAAACAAAAAAAAATTTCAGAATGTTTCTTCTCCAGCAAGTTCTCGTGATGAGAGGAATACCCAACGAAGAAAATATGCATTTCCCTTTTATTCCTTCCGATTCGCCTTCTCTTCCCCTTTGATCATGGCCGGCTGGTTAGTCTGGGTGATGGGGACCATCCGCTCATTTGGGGCACCTTCAATGGCCTGTCGACACATTCAAAATGCTCTTAGTCAATTTCAGATTGAGAACAAGCACAAGTAGAGTCTAAACTAAAACCGATAATGATCTTTGAGCTAATGTCGAAATTTTCTATGAAGCCAAGCTTGAGAGCCATCTGATTTCTGCAGTTGGAGAAAGAATTTGACGATGAAAACCCTTACCATTTTGGGTGCAGTGACGGTGAGAACTCCATCGGAGGAAAGGGAGGACTGGATGCTCTCCGGCCGGACATTATCAGGAAGGAGGTATCGTCGCTGGAAATGGCGAGAGATGAATCCGTGCTCGTCTCGCTTCTCCTCGTGCTTCCCCTCGATCACAACCGAGTTCTCCACTGTTTTCACGCTGATCTCCTCCGGAGCGAACTGCTGCACGTCCAGGTTGACCTGCAATACAGATGGAATCCCTCAGTACCTCCTGTATCATCAAGTTTCATTCCCATCATCTTCGACATAATCGAGATGAACAATTAACGGACACGTTACATCCAATAAATTAAAGTCTCAACGTGCCTTCAAAACAAATTCTAAGTATAGCCCTTAAAGGAAATAGGGACATGCGAAACCTGAACCAACCTGAAACTTGTCCTTGTCGTTGACCACCTCGCTTACGCCCGACTTGACTCGATCGCGATTCGGTCGCCTGGCGATGATATAGAAGGGGTGATAGGTGGGTGGGGCCAGGAGGTCGTCGTTCATCAGGCCCATGCCGAAATGTTGATCGAAGAGGCGAGTGACGGGATCCGTTTCTTCCCACCAGTCGCGACGAGGCCACATTCCCCAAGGAAACAGAGCCATAGCCTAATCCAAGAAACGAGCGACACTGATCAATCTAAGCGGATTTTAAAAATAATGTGTCCTATACGGTAAATGTCAGTCGCACAGACTTACCGATGAATTTGAATGCGCTAGTAAAAGGTACAAAGAAGTACACTTGAGTTGGCTAAGCCTCCGTTGAAGGTTTTACGACATCGGATTGCTTCTCAAACTCGTTGGTGAGAACTCTTCTTCTCGCCGTATTTATAGCGGGCGTCAAGTAGCCTGGAATGTTCAGGATATGTCCAGCGTTCGGGCATTCTGGAAAGTTCTGTCTGGAATACGATGGGAATGGGAAATCAGACACGCGCACGGTGTGAGTTGCGAATCCTACGCGGGTCGTACGTAGAAACTCGCAATATCCCGCGGTGCAAACATGACATTGCGCACTGATTCCCGCGGGACGCAGAGGAGTTCCACGGGAGGTCTCTATCGAGAACTGCAGTTCTCCTGGCCAATCGGAGCCGCGCGCGCCTGCTCCGAGTCGTCAGGCCTGCGACGCGCGACTTTCCAGAAAGTTCTAACACTTTCCTTGCCTTCTGCTGCTTCTCTGTCTGTATTACGGTGATTCTCTCTCAACAGGTCCAGTCACTACTCGAATGGCCGTCGAGCCGGGGCGTTGTGCTCTCGCTCTCCCCTCTCCTTATGTCGAAGCGTTGTCAGATAGGGTAAAAGACCCAGTGATGGACCGGTCCCCAGTGATGGGCCACAGCACATAAAAATTCCAATATCTAAGCTTCCATAGCAAGCCCACCCATTTTGTGACATATGCTAGCAACATTCAGGCACATAGACACTTTAGAGGTGTTCATGGAACAAATGCCTAGTTTTTGGAATTTTCCTGCTATGTGGCCCATCACTGAGTACCCACCATTAACAGGCCCATCACTGGGTCTTTTACCCTACAGGATGAGGCAAAAAAAACCCATGCTACTCTTTGATATTCTGTGGTGTTCCTAAGACAGCAGGGAGCACAAGTAAGACTTATTTGATAATTTGTAAATTAAAACATGGACTGGGGTAGACATACAGATTAGGACAAATGCCTCATTCAGCTCAACACACATACCTTAGGAAGAGTGATCCAAATTGGACAATCCTGACAGCATTGCCACACCTTCCCAAGCTCTCATTCACTATGTACCCCAATTTAATGGGCCTGGGGAAGGTGATGGCAACTGTGATGCAACTCAAGCATGAGGTCCTCCATCACTACACATCAGGCTACCAGGGCTGATAAGGCAGGTTTTACAAAATTTTCATTAATTTCAATTTTACAAAAACAACTTGAAATTTATTTCCAAAAGTGGAAAGGTACAGATGGGAAAGTGGTAGGTATGCACATTTTATACCAATTTCAAACAATCTAAGATGAAACTCTCTGTAGGTGAAAGAGTGACTAAAGCCTGTTATATTGAGAAGGCATGAGATGGGAAAATAATTTTTTAGTAAAGGATGGATGAAATGCACCATTAGCAGAATGATTCACAAGCTGAGTAGAACTGAGGGGATGCAAATGAGTGGCAAACTAAATTAATTTAAACTGAAGAAAATGGTGCATGTGTGGTGGAAGCCATTGCATCCCTCAATGAAAAATGTTGGATGCAAAAGTTCCTGCAACAAATTGCCAATAATAAAGGGGTAAGTCTGTACGATCTGGTCAGCAGATTCTGAAGTGCAGGGGAAAAAACACCTTGAAAGGAATTGACATTCCAAGCCAGTGCCACAATCCCGAAGGTCAATTTTGCAGTGTGAGCATCAGAATAAAATTCCAGAAGTGTTTGTAAAATGGCAAGCAGTAAAACAGCTAGACACTTGGAGGATGCTTTCAAGATTAATAGAAATGATTATATAAGAAAAAAATAACTAGCTGTGTGTTGTCTTATAACTGCAATATAATTTTGTTAAGAGTGGCATGTTTTCGATGCCTCACTCAGTAAGTGGAATAAAGATTCTAAAAAATTTGAGCTTTCTTGACACATGATTTTTCAGCATTGATGACCAATAAAAGCATATTTAAAAGGAATCTTGTTATTTTTCATATTCTACAACTACAGGGTGGGGCAGGTAAATTGGGACAAACTATAATGGAAATTGAAAAGACATGTTTTGCAAGCAAAAATCAATATATTGAAATGAAAATTGGCACAGAAGCAGTTCAAATGATACAGTTTCGAATTATTCAATGTAGTCTCCATTGTTGGCGACGACAGAC